GATGCCAATTTCCAAATAGGATCCAGAATAAACAAGACAGACATTTCTGGCACTAAAATAACATTTCCTCTGTTCATTAGTCATGTCTCCAGGCCTCTGTTACATTTCTTTTGCTTTCCACTCTGAATTTTTATTCTCACAAAAAATAGAAGATATATTGTTATACAGACTACTGCATTAGTGTAGAAATGGTATAAATAATATCAGCGCACTTGTGAAAGAATATTAGATTCACCATTTGATGTGTATTAGACGCCTGGCAAGATTTGTTTACTTTTGAACATTGGCAAAAATCGAACATTTCTGCTAATTTGAGCTCAATTTGAAGGTACCTTTCATTGTGTAACCAATCAAAATCATCTCAATTTCCATAATATGTCTTTCATTCTATAAAGTGAGACCAGGAAAACTAGAATACAACCATAAGTAGCATACGAAAATACACTGCAAAGTCACTGTTTTAAACCAAAAACACGGTCGGAGTTTTTTTTTTTCTCTTTATGCACTGTGTGCTGCAGGATTTTTTTTATACTGTGCACACTGACCACATAGTCCCATTCTTTCATATGTAGGCCTACCAGCTTTCACTCGCTAGATTCGAAGCCGCTGGAATTAATGCGTACTAGTACGGCACCAACCCTGGCGTGCAAGTCGTACTAGTATGGCACCAACCCTGAAAGGGTTAATTGAGTCTACAGTTTGCTCTTGTTAGTTCATTGATTCAAAGTGAAATGTCTTAATAAGAGCTTATTATTCAAAGTATGTCTTTTCATCAGTATTGTTGGATCTGAATGGCATACTGCCATTACAGATCTAACAACTTCCTTTCCTATTACTTTATATAATTTTCTACAGAATATGGTAGTGTTACACCATCATAATATACTTTTGGGTTTCTCTGACAGTGTTGATAAATTTCCCAGTCTTAACTTTTCCCCATACCACAGCATAATCATGTAATGAACATGTTTATAGTATCTTCCGGTAAACCCTACAAATGTAAATGTCAGTATATATTTCGACTTCATTTCATTTCTAGGTTTTTTCATAACAGATTATCACACATTTCCAATATTTTTATCCCTGTTCTCCTCTGTCCAGTTTTCATAGTTTTTATATTTCAGTTATGTACCTGCTCCTTTCACAAGATTATTTTTTATACTTTTTATAGGAAAAGATCCACAAATCTGACACCGTCAGATATGGAAAACACTCAAAATATCTTTCTTAATATTCCCTTTATACCTAATGTTCAGTTATTCAACACCTTAACTGTGGCATACCCAGAAATTAAAGTTTCTCTGTGTAAGTGACGAGATTTTGAAAAATAAAAATATTTTTCTTAAAGATTGAAAGAGTGCATTTTTATTAATCAGATAAGACTACAATGAGTGGATTCTGAAAAAAAAAAATTAGGATTTTATGGTATATTGAAGTTGGCAAAATAATGATTACTTGTCAGCAACAGCAGCGTAAATATGCCAGCGATGCTGGTTTTTATAGTTTATTGATGCCAAATTATGATTGTTTTTCAGCTTTTGATATTGGTTTAGACATTTAACATTATGTACACTACTTATGATACAAGATGTGTTTCAAGGTGTTTTAGTACTTCAAACATGGGGAAATTCATAGTCCAGTATTGTTTCACAGAGAATATTCAGTGTTAGAGGAAATAATTGGTTTGTCTATTTAACTGCTTTGGTCTTCTAATAGTATGCACAAGGAATATCTATGTTACAGTTATTTCAAGATGTAATACTCTTTAATAAAAACAGGGAAATAAGTCATACTGTTTGAGTATACAGTGGACCCCCGACTTACGATATTAATCCGTTCCTGAGAGCACATCGTAAGACGAAATTATCTTAAGTCGAATTAATTTTCCCCATAAGAAATAATGGAAATCAAATTCATCTGTTCCAGACACCCCAAAGTATGAAAAAAAATTTTTTTTACCACGTGAAATACTATACATTTTTCTACACACAAACAGAAGGATACATGCACAATATATATTGTGTAATTAAGAATAAATGACACTTACCTTTATTGAAGATGTGATGAGTGATGGGATGGGAGGAGGGGAGATCATGGAGATGTACATATTATTTTTTGGAAGGGGAATCCCCTTCCATAAGGACTTCAGGTAGCAAGTCCTTTTCTGGGGTTACTTCCCTTCTTCTTTTAATGCCACTGGGAACGACTTGAGAATCGCTGGACCTCTGTCGCACCAAAAATCTGTCCATAGAGCTCTGTACCTTGCGTTCCTTTAAGATTTTCTTAAAGTGGTTCACAACATTGTCATTGTAATAGTCACCAGCACGGCTTGCAATAGCTGTGTCAGGGTGATTTTCTTCCATAAAGGTTTGCAGTTCAACCCACTTTGTACACATTTCCTTAATCTTTGAAGAAGGCAACTTCTTCAATTTCTCTCTCTTCTCCTCTGAAGCAATTTCCTCAGTTGTGGCCTCTTGCTGTTGCAGATGCTCTTGCAGCT